CTGCCCCTGCAGCCGCTATGCCCCTGCCTGCCCTGCTCCTCCTCGCCCTGCAGCCTCTGCGCTCCCCCGCCTACCCTGCCCCTGCAGCCGCTATGCCCCTGCCTGCCCTGCTCCTCCTCGCCCTGCAGCCTCTGCACTCCCCTGCTCACCTAGCAGAGGGAGAGCTGCAGGCACCACGTGGATCCAAACACTGTTCCGCGCTGCTCTGCGGGGGAGGAGGGAGCGGGGGAGGGGGAGGGACTCTGGCTGCTAGAGGCCCCAGTGGCTGCGAGCAGCTTTCAATCCGGCCCAGCTGTCCAATCAGCCGCGCCGCACTCTGCATGAGGGGAAGGGGGAAATCCCGGACATTTCTACTTTATTAGAAATCCCCCTGGATGGCCATTTAAAGCTGAAAAAGCCGGACATGTCCGGGGAAACCCGGACGGATGGTAACCCTAGATTTTGAATGTGTGTGTAACCCCTTTGGGGTTTAGAGAGCATGGCCCCTTTAAATCTTTTTCCTAGGGGGAAGTGGGAGAGTGAGGGAAAAAAAGGAGGGAAACTCCAGGGGGTGACTCTGAAGCTGAGAGGGTGAGAGGGGGCAGCCCGAAGAGGCCCTCACAAAGTGAAGCAGCAGAGAACCTGCCTGAAGCCTGGGAAGGACAGGGCGGCCAATCAGGGACACCCCAGTGTTGCCGGCACAGAGGGCCCGAGGGGGGCAACAGCGGGGTTCGTTGCCCGGTGTGTTTCAGGTCAATGAACACACCAGGGTGGAGAAGCAGACAAAGTTTATTCAAGAGCTCTGAATAGGCGCTAGGAGACCAGCATGTCTCAAATCAAGCGCACTGATACAAGCACTTTTTCACTTTTTATTCTTTTCTTCCTCCCCGCCCCCCACCCCCCTGCAGCAGTTACATTAAACGGCCTTGGCTGTGCACTGTTCCTTTCTGCAAGTAATCTTGTCCTTCAGCTAGAAGCATGTAGGTTCCCCTTATCACTACCGCTTCCCAGCTGCTGGCCTGTGAGGTTAGTAAAGTTTAACATGGAGGGGCTTTGGTTCACTTTGGCCTAGAGCGGGGGGGTTTCATCGACTCTCGTGGTCTTCCACCCCCCCCGCCTCTCCCCGAGTTACCTAGGGTGATGCCTAGTGACACCAACACCAGGACAGGAGCCAGGAGGTGCACTGTGCCAGGGAGGAATCCCCTGAGAAGGACAGGCCAGAGCTGGACCCAGTATCATGGCTGCCCAGAGCTTCATGGGGCTGTGAGTACTGGGGCTTATGACTCTGCATTGGGAACAAGGAGGGAGGCTGCTAGATAGTTAAGTGGGCAGGTGGTCGCTCTATGTGGCTTTGCAGAGAGCGGCAGAAGAGGGCACCGGAGGGGTTTGTTGTGGGAAAGTTCACTGGCGCCGAAGATGACCAGGAGCACCCAAGACTCACCCCTGGACTGGAACTTTGCTCAGGACTCCTGAACTCTGTGTGCAGACACATTGTTCAGTGTGTGCCCTTTCAGACTATGCTACCACCGGGCCCGTTGGGCCTTGGTTTGAATGCAATCCTGTTTTACTGCTCCCCCTATATTTGTCATTGTTGTTTTTCTCCTCTCATCCCTCTGTAAATAAATCTCCCTTTCTTCTATTCGTTGTACTTTTCCAGTGGGTGGGTGTGTTCACTCGGGGGGGTTTGGAACAGGTGCCCCTGGGGTGGAAGGGATTTTTCCTGCTGAATTCCTGCGCGCGCCTTCTCTTGGCCAGAGCTGCCTGCAGAGCAGACTCCATCTTGGCCACGAGGGCGCTAAAGTTACATGTGCGCACAGCTCCTTCTTGTGCATCTGAAAGCAAGATTTGGCCTTTACTGTTGAGACTAAAGTACAACAACAGTCTTCACCTTCTAGAAATCTCAATGCAAACACTGCAAAATTCACAGAGCTGTGGGCAGTGTTTGAAATTCATGGTCAGTCCCCAATATTTTCTCTGAATTGGGCATAAACTATTGGCCTTGCTGCTGATTGTTGGATGGAGTGAAAGCCGAGTGCGGCTTTTTTTTTTTTTTTGCTTGGGGTGTCAGAAATGCTGGAGCCGGCCCTGCCCCCATTAGCCTGGAAAGGTGAACCGCGGCCAGTGGGAGCCGCAATCGGCCGAACCTGCGGACGCGGCGGGTAAACAAACCGACCTGGACTGCCAGGGGCTTTCCCTGAACAAGCGGCAGCCCAACTTTAAAGCAGTGCTTCTCAAAGTGTGGTCATGCTAAGAAAAGTGACTCTCTACCTACTACATCACGGTGTTTCGTATTTATTTTCTCTCCATCAATTACTTCCACAGCAAATGAGCTCTGTTTTTTACAATTCAGAACAAGGTTGTCCTAATGGCCAGCATTGCAACTGTAACCTGGTTATCCAAGGAATCAAGGTGTACTTTCTGCTCCATATAGTAGGGTTACCATATCTCATAAATAAAAAAAGAGGACCCTCCACGGGCCCTGG